TAATATTGCTTGAACCAGACTGACAATAGTCAAATGCTGTTAAATGCACTGCCCAAAAAATTCAAAGCGATGTCTTGTAGAATCTCAAAGTCAAATTTGACAGCAGCTTTGAGTTTGAGCAAGCTTTCTGGTCACTTCAGGGTTCCCTTGGGTTTGTTCTGACATTTTTACCGCATTATTGGGATGGACATCAAATACATGTAATAGGTTGTTGGTATGCTAGACGTAGTACTCTTTATCAAAGTTTAGTTCCCTCCTTTTGAAAGCTCTCTCTTTTGGGACTCAGCTCTTTTCTTAATCCTCTCTGTCTCTGGATTATACACAACATAATCCTTAAGTGATGCTCCGAGTGGTAAATCTAAACAGGTCGTCAAGAGAGATCCTACCTTGCATCTAAAAACTTGTGCTAGTTGCTCAATGTTTTGCACTTCCGATTTATCTTTTTGTTTGCCACTTTTAGAGATAAAATGCTGGAGTTCTTATCTACTGAGGTATTTATCTGCTATCTGTTATATGAGACGCTAACCTTAAGTTCTCGCTTTCTTCTTCCTCTCTGTCTCATTTTTTCAACACTGAAACCATGAATTTCTTTCTTTCCTTTTCTAGTGAAATACCGAATTCACAACTCACAACCACCTACTCCAGCAGTGCATGTCTTCCTCTCTCTAACAATGTACTTTACATTCTGCTTCGCTCAGAGGATGAGAGAATATTTTAGTTTTTTTTGTTTCCACCTTGCTTTTGGTAGAGGCTGTAGATCTAGTAGCTGAGGGCTCAATTCTTAGCCAATTTTTTGTTCTTTTCTTGTTTACATAGGTGAAGTTGACAACCTGTTAGATCCTGGATAAGCAGGGTAATCTTGATCTTCCGTCTTCGTTGTTGCTAGACATTTTTTCTTGTTTCTCATTTCTTGTCCTTTTATGAGCATTTATAATAAAAACATTTGCTTGAATCTGTTTTGTAGGGGGAGACTCTTTGGTGGTCAGTACACTTGTCACGCTTCTTGATCCATGCCAATTTTTGGGATTAGTAAATGGCGTATTATGGATCTCAATGACATAGTGGGCTTGTTGGTGCAGGCAACTTAATCTACAGTACTTGACATTAAGATGTATTGCACCATAGATTTAATGGTATTAACCTCTGATTGTTGTATGAGTTGGCCATTTTTGTTCAAACCTGAATGATCCAACAAATGCAAAAATAAAGTTCTTTTGTATATGGAAACACCTTCTTGGGCAACATATAAAGTGCTTTTGTAGAGTCACTTCTGGATGACTTGTTTTTTAAGTTGCTCGACTAGAGTAGATATTACATCTATTGGTACTTTTTTTTAAGTGAATGCCCTTTTCTGAAAAAAAGGAAAGCATGCTTAGATAGTAAAACCTTTTCTCAGAGAGCAAATGCCTCTAGATAGACCTTGGGGCTTTGGTTCAATGGTAAGGACGCAACATCTGATGTGCGACCAGGCGTACGTCATAGTTCCAACCTTGCCACGGAAGTATCAGTAAAAATAGCACGGGCTAGCCAGTTTCCGGATTGATAATTAAAAAATAGCCAGTGTTTGCAAAGTCATTTAAAAATAGTCAGTATTTTGCTGTAACACGAAATGTTCCAGCATAATATATAATTTTTTCTATGGTGTTCAAACTTGAAAGAAGTAAAAGAAATCTTGACAAAAGGGTGTGTAATATACGTTATATACCTCTAAAACCTAATATTTTACCTATATATACAGTGTAGTTTTTAACGAAGGGTGGTCATTTGGCCACCCTTACCATAGTGTAGCTTCGCCCGTGCTTCCCATATTATGCTAGACATGTATATTATACTGGAGCTCCACTATATTATGCTGGAATTCCAGTATATTATACTGGAACCCAGTATAATATACTGTAGTTCAGGTATACTTATGCTGGAACTCCGGTATAATATACTGGACTAGTATATTATACTGGAATTTTGGTATATTATGCTGGAGTATTTTCCGGATTATGAACAGTGTTTTCGTTCAGATTTATCTTTACATGAAAAGTAGTTAAATGTAAATTACTTTTAGAATTATGGCTATTTTTCAATTACCACTTCTAAATCTGATTGAATTTCTCCCGAAGAATCATGGTATTAAAGTTGAGAGGAGGGTAAAGGCCTAAAGGGGTAGAGACATACGTAAAAATTGCACGGGGCGCCCTATTTGGTCGCCCTCATTTAACCTATACCCATTTTTTAAAAAACTTTTAACTTGTACCCACTTTTTAAACAACTTCAGCTCCTTTCTCCTCCTCCTCCTTCGTTTTCTTCTTCTTCTTCTTCTTTTTTTTTTTTTTCCAGTTATTAGTTTAAGATGCTTTTTGAGGCTTGTGGAGTTCAATAACGTCAAGAAGTCCTGATGAAAAAGCTTTGCTATTGTTTAAGTAGGATGCATGGAAATGCATTTTGCCTATATGCGTCCAACAGACAAAATCTAAATCCATAGTCATTTAAGAGATGGGTTTAAAAAATAACTGCAAAAAGGCAATATACATCTACTTAATTGTGCTAGTAATCAATAAGAAAATACAAATTTATGCATCAATATCCTGTGCACCCTTTTGAGAATTGAATATCAAAAGACAGAATCAAGCATTAATTTTTACTGAATGAGACTTTCTGTCCTTCGTTTATGTTCCAATTGTTTTCATTGTTATGTGCAGGAAATTGGCTGACCTTGGTAATCATAGAAGTGCCAAGAAATGCAAAGAGAAATTCGAAAACGTTTACAAGTATCACAGAACTAAAGATGGCCGTACTTGTCGTAATGGTTGAACCAGAGGATACAATAGCTGCAGTGAAAGCATACATTCAAGAGGAAAAAAGGATCTCTTTTAAGAAAACTTCAGCTCTACAAGAAAACTTCAGCTCATGAGCTGAAGTTTTTGTCTTTGTAACTGGGGAACTTCAGCTCTGGAGCTGAAGCTTTTGTCTTTGTAACTGGGAACTTCAGCTCTAGAGCTAAAGTTTTTGTCTTTGTAACTGGGGAATTTCAGCTCTAGAGCTGAAGTTTTTGTCTTTGTAACTGGGGAACTTCAGCTCTAAAGCTGAAGCTTTTGTCTTTGTAACTGGGAACTTCAGCTCTAGAGCTAAAGTTTTTGTCTTTGTAACTGGGGAACTTTAGCTCTACAGCTGAAGTTCTTCAGCTCTAGCGCTGAACTTCAGGTCCGGCTACTAGAATGCTGAAGTTTTGCGTGATTGCCTTTGCTATTTCAGCCCCGTATGCTGAAGCTATGCGAAAAAGCGGGTACGTTTGTAATTTTTTTTGCAAAGCAGGCACAAGTTAAAACGTGACACAAAAAACGGGTATAGATGCAAATGCCCCGAGACATACACTCGAGTTTTCGAGCCTGTGTCACAAAGTTGTGATTCTAAAAGAAGTTATTTCCTTTACTTAGGTTCATCAAAAAGGAAGAAGAGTTGAAAGAAAGAAACCTTCCAATAACATATACGCTATATCCTTAATATTTGATTAAGATTCATTTTTAGCCATGAATGGAGTTACATTATTAGTGAAAAAAGAATTAGTCATTGTGTTTTATTTTTTTAACCGAGTGGTCACACCAATTTTAGCTTTACAGAAATTCCCAAGTTGATGTTCTTGAAATAGAAACTCATATATTATTGGATCTTTTGCAATCCCTCAATTCCATTGTACATGGCTACATGCAATGCACTTTTATTAGACCATGACATCCACGAAAAAAAAAAATGCAACGCATTTTTCCATTTTTTATATTTTTTATTATACTTACATTAATTTGGGTCATCCCCCAGTTCATCCACGAAATTTCATAAAATTGCTTGTCTATTTGTGAAAGAATAATGAGAGCTAAAATACAATGATCTAACGCATTTTAACTTTTGAGTTATATACATTAGTGGTATAAAAATATTTATACAATCATATTACTTATAAAGAATTACATATAAATTTCGTAAAAAGCATTGATTGATTATCTAATAAAAATAATAAGTAATTTACTATAACATATTAAAATATAGTAAATTTTTTAACTCTTCCGTGTATTTACTTGAATTACTTTAATTTGTGGGCATCAAAAGAAGAAAATAATTAACACGTCGCTCGATCAAAAAACCAAAAAGAAGAAAAAACAAAAAAGGAAAGAAAATAAGTAACCCGTTAACCCATATGGTTATCGGTAGGGGTGTACAAACCGAACCGGAAAACCGCACCAAATCGAAAAGTCAAACCAAACCGATTAAAAAACCCGACTAGGTTTGGTTTGATTTGATTTGGTATTAAAAAATCCGAACCAAACCGACATATAAATATATAATTTTTATATATACTTTTAAGACTTTATATAGAATTTTCTTTACAAAAATTCTAGAAATATTTGGGATTCTCTTATGGAATGTAATATTTAATAGAATATGAAGTACTCCATTTTTACTAACCTTAAATAATGGGTTATATGATCACTTTCTTATCAAGTGTTACTGAAATGCGTCAATTTCTTTGTTCTTCCTTGTTCATATATCAAGATTTATTAAATTTTTATATCTTTTTCAAATTTAAAGTGGTATTTTGATAATCTAAAATAAAATAGAACTTATCATTAATTAGGTATCATGTTGATTTTTATGTTTAATTATTAAATTCGTTTAACCTTATAAGTATACATCAACGAAAAATTATTATAAGAGGACTAAAAAAATAACTATCATGTGTTATTAATAAAATGCTACCGTAAAAAATATTTAAATAGATCATATGTTTGTCAAGTTTTTTAATTTTTACTAAACATATATTTACTTATAAAAAATTTAACAAAGTAAGATTGAAATAATATTCACATAACAAAAAAACCCGAGAAACCGAAAAATTCGATAAAACCGAACCAATCCAACCCGATATAGTTGGTTTGGTTTGGTTTTAATAAAAACCGAACCAACCCGGTTCATGTACCTTATGGGTACTACCCATGAAATTCTTGACCCAAGGCGCACCCCTTTTCTAGTTATTCTAGGTTTTTCAGCTTCTTCAATTTTTCTGCGTCTCTCACACCTGGGTCGGTGTCACTGCCTCCCTTCGACGTCTCTCTCAGGTAAAATCTTTTTCTTTTAACTAACCTTCCTGTTCTGTAACACTTTTGCTATCAGTGTTTTAACTCTCAGATGTTTTGTTGGAAAAAAAATACTTTTAAACTTCAAGATCTCAGCTTTTTCATTGTTTATGTGAGTTTCGCAAATATAGTCAGTTCTAGACCCAGGTAACGAAGAAGTGATACTGAGTATCTGTATAGCTGACCCAACTAATTTGGGATTGAGGCGAAGTTGATTGATTGATTAATTAAAGATTTCAGCTTTTGTAGCGCAAGTTGTTGTTTTCTGGTAATTTTGGGTTCGTGTGTTTTCTAGCTTTGTTGAAGGAGGGTTTAGTTATTTATTTATTAAATTTATAGCTTGGGTGTTCAAACCCTATCCCAGACAAAAGCCTGTGCACCATTGGCCCTCGGGGATTTTTTGGTTATAAAAAATGTTTATAGCTTGGCTTGTTTAGCTCGCTGAAATATTTTCTGTTGTTAAGATATCCTTTCCAAGAGTGATCTAAAGTTGTTAAGATATCTGGTCGTCAATAATTGTTTGCACGAAACATATAGTTTAATCTTTATGAAGAATAATGCTTTGGCTTATAAAGAAACTGGCGAGTGGATAAGTAGCTGAGAAAGAAGTTATCAACCTTTTCATATATAAAACGGAATTTACTTTGTTACTTAAGCTGAATTATGAGTTTGAGAGCTATAAGAAAAAAAACTGTTCTTGGTATAAGTGTTCGATGCAAAGTTTGTGTTCGTGTTAATGGAATACTGTTGTTTTCAGTGTTCAGTGTGATTTTCACTTAACAGCCCCTGGAAGGGGTGTTTCTCAAAATGATGGCACAGCTTGATGAGAACTGTTTTTATGCAGGTGAAATCTTTGATTTTTAATGTTAATATATCAAACCAATCACTTACTTGGAAAGTAAAAGCAAGTGTGCGTGGTTGGTGTCTTCCCCCTTTTAACCGTTTTCCTCCCAGTTAGGGATCGACCGCTTTAACAATGGGAACACCAGAGACCTCTCGTGAACCTTGCCCTGACCGTATACTTGATGATGTTGGCGGAGCATTTGGTATGGGTGCTGTTGGAGGTGCGGCCTTCCACTTCATAAAAGGCACATACAACTCACCCAAAGGTGAGCGCTTGGTTGGTGGTACACAGGCTGTGCGCATGAATGCACCTCGTATTGGTGGTAGTTTTGCTGTGTGGGGTGGACTGTTCTCCACGTTTGATTGTACAATGGTTTATCTCCGTCAGAAAGAAGATCCGTGGAACTCAATCATTGCTGGTGCTGCAACTGGTGGCTTTCTCCAGATGCGGCAGGGATTAGGTGCTGCTTCTAGATCAGCAATGTTTGGTGGAGTTTTACTTGCGTTGATAGAGGGAGCTGGAATTATGTTGAATAAAGTCATGAGTGCTCCCCAGAATTTCCCGCCCATGGATGAGCCACTACCAAATGCCCCTGGTGTGCCTGGGTATCCAACCGGGCAGCTGCCTGGTCAACAAATGGGGCAGCTTCCTGGTCAAGCTCCAGCAAGTATTGATGGCATGATGGTTGAATCTTCAGCACCGTCCTCTTCTTCCTCAAGTTCCTGGCTTGGAGGGCTTTTTGGCGGTGGAAAAAAAGAGGAGACAGCGTCAAACAGTGGTAGCAAGACACAGGTTTTAGAGAGCTTTGATGCTCCTAGCCCACCTACTTTTGAATATAAATGAGTTTAAGAGCTGAAATTCTTTGCAGGTTGGTGACTGTTATTTTCTTTATTATTTGGATTCCTTATGTAGTGTGAACCAGTATATTAATTTATCAGTGTAGCCAAGGTTTTGTGACGTTTCATGGAAAGTATAGATTTCTGAATAAATGTCTTCCTTCAAAAGACATTATGTGCTCTGTAGTCTCTATGGAAACTGTGCAGGACAAAGGAAATAAAGTCTCGCTTTATATGCATTGACATGCTCTCTTGGAATGAAGATTACCATAAAATTGGGAACTTGTTATTGACTACTTGTGTCTTATTAATTAGATGTGTTCTGATTTTGGTATATTTGAATCTTGTAGGTTTTGAAATTCTTGAATTCATTAGTGGACTTGTATTATATCTCTGAAATAGACTTTTCTACCTTAGAAAACAGTACTAACTCTTCGAGATGCCTCATTGTTAGCATCCGGACGATAACTTTTTGGCACATCGGTATGTTATGTGCGTGTAATATAGGAAATACTGGTGACCCCTAGGCCTTCGCTCTTGTGGTAAAAGTGCTGCTCGTGATGTGTGTGTTGGGTGCATGTCATTCGAACCTGCCGCAAACAAAAGCCTGGTATTGAGTGGAGAAGGGTAGAGGGGAGGGCCCATTACCACTGAGTTTCAAGCTGTGCGCCATTGGTCTTCCCGATTTTCTGGTTTATAAAAATATATTGGAAATACTTATATGTCACACAAGTTTGTTCTTTCTTAAAAATGGAGAAGAACATAGAATAGATAACTAGTATTGGGAACATGAGCTATGATTAGTTCCTTTTTTCTTTTTGTAAGTTATATAATTTAATTGACGTGGGAGAACTCCCCGATATGCAAGCAGTATACGAGAAGTAGAAAGCTTAGACCAAAAGATGGTTCTCTAAAAAGACAGTCAAATCTTCTATACCAGCATGGACAAATCTACAAGTTTGTCAGTCTGCCTGTTGGCAAATCTACAAATTTCTCAATCTTCCTATACATTAACAGAACATATTCTCTTTACATTAATAAAAAACTAACAGGGACCTCAGTGATGCACCCAAAGTTAACTAAAATGTACAAAGTCATTCTCCAACCCTTCAAAAGCTTTCCAATTTCTCATGCCTCTGCTTACAATCCTCTACAGAGACCTCCCATCTGGTCACTACATGGTTCCCTTCCTCTGTCACCACAACAGCAAGTTTCTTTCTGACCTTCGTGCTGCACTCGTTGGGATGGACGTCAAAGATATGTAATTGGCTGGCATGCTAGATGTTAGTACTCTTTATCAAAGTTTCTCTGGAAGATCTCTCTTTTCCCACCGTGTCCTTATGTTGTTGGGAGAGAGTTTACCTTACATCTAAAAGCTTGTGCTCATCGCTCAATGTTTTGCACATTCATTTTTTCTCTGTGTTTGCCACTTTTAGGGATAAAATATTGGACCTTTTGTTTAGTGAGGCTTCTATCTGTTATCTTTTGTGTAAACGCTAACATTATGTTCTTTCTTTCTTCTTTCTCTATGTCTCATTCTTCCAGCACTGGAACCATTTCTTTCTTCCCCTCTCTAGTGATATACCATGTTCACAACTCACAATAAGAACTCCAGCAATGCATGTCTCTCCTCTAACAAAGATACTTTAGGTTCTCTGCTTCAGTCAGAAGACCAGCGAAGATTTTAGTACTTTCCGTTTCCACCTTGCTTTCAGTAGAAGCTGTAGACCTAGTAGCAGAGGGCTCGTTTCTTGGCACGTCCTCTTCATTTCGTTGTTCTTTTCTTGTTTGTATTTTGTGTTGGTTCTGGTTTTGTGAGCTTCAGTGGTGTGCTATGGTTTGGAATTTTCCCCGTCCATCTCCTATGTTCAAAGAAGAAAAGGAGAAAGAGGGAAACATCCAAAAGAACTTGTTACCAAAAGAATTAATGTAAGACGGATCTGGAAGCATAAGTTCTTTGAGTTCCTATAGATCATTGATAAGCAGGATATATTAATCTTCCGTCTTTGTTGTTGTTTGACATGTTTTCTTGTTTCTTAACTCTTATCCTTTATGAGCAATTTATAATCAACACATTTCGTTGAATCTGTTTTGTAGGGGGAGCATCTTGGTGGTCAGGACACTCATCACACTTCTTGATCCGTGCCGATTTTTGGGATTAGTAAATGGCTTATTGTGGATCTGAATGACATAGTGGGTTTATATTGATGCAGGCAGTTTAATCTACAGTACTTGACATTAAGATATATTGCATCATAGGTTTAATGGTATTAACTTTTGATTATTGTATGAGTTGCCAAGTTTTGTTCAATCCTGAATGATCAAACAAATGGAAAAATAATGTGCCATGTTTGTGGTTGTATATGGAAACACCTTGGGCAGCATATAAAGATCTTTTTTGCAGGGCCACTTTTCTGGATGACATGTACTGAGATTCTTAAATTGCTCAACTAACAAAGTAATGTATTTCTATTTTATTTATTCCAGGAGATAGGGAGGTCATTTGTGGTTTCAATATTGAGGCTATATTCTAACTTAATCAATGGGGGCTAAGTTACATGTGAAACATTGGGTTAGAACTCTTAAACTTCCTTAAATCATAACAAACAATTTATTTCATTCTTGAAACATTACATAGAGAATTGAAGAATCAAATGAATACAAATACACTTGGAAAAATACATGTAATATCTACCGTTCTAATCATGGCAGCAGGCAAATGCACAAGGGCTGTTGCTATATTCATATAATATCGACTGAACCCAAAAAACCGACCAAATTGTAAACTTCGGTTTATTTGGTTTTGGTTTTTCGGCTTATTTGGTTAGTTTGCGGATTATGTTTTCTATTGTTTCGGTATTCGGTTCGGTGCTCAGTTTTCGGTTTTCGTTTAAACCGATAAATCGAAGTTTTCTAATATGTGTCCGAGCCTTTGGGCTCCTCTTTAAGTTGTCTAGCTGACGAGGCCAATGTGTATTGGAATTTTCTGCTCGTACTCTGTCAAATTCTAATATAGTTTAAGATATCGTCCCACAGAGACTGGATAATCTATGCTACAGATTTATAATATTTTAACTACTATTTGAGAGAATCAAATTGATGAAAAATGAGTGAGGTTTAAAACTTGTTAATTACTTAAGCAAAACAAATATTTTTGGAAAATTTATAATTTAAAAAAGAGTTGGGAATCATTGAATTCACTTGATAATATTACTATAATAAAATCTCAATTTTTACACTTATTTCTCTAAAGAATAATTGCTTATTTCTAATATAATTATATTTGGCTCACTAAGAAATAACCAATTAATAACACTTCGTGAGAATTATGTTAATGAATCAATTCAAGACTAGTGACGTTTAAACCGAAATATTTTTCTTGCTTGAATTGTGCTAAAAGAAAGTAAAAACTTCGTGAGAATATTTTTACCAAGGATCAATAATCTTGCCTATAACAATTCCTCCGTGAGAATTAAAACTGAGGCAAGCAAGATTACTGACTTGAAATAATAGTTTACTGAAAAAATTACTTTCACACTACTATTTTATTCATCAGCTATTATATATTAATTTTGCTCCGCGAGAATTATAAAATTAATATATGAATAACTTAGAGATAAAATATGTAGATGTGATGATAGAGTAATTAAAAACCATCATTTCAGCAGAGTATGAAATGTAAATAAAAAGTTTCCAGCCAAGAATATATAAAAACTAAGAAAATATTATAAAATATATCATGCTTCATCAACTATCCCAACAAAAAGAAATTACTCCATTATGGAGTAAGAAAAGCTAAAAAGGATATTTAGAAGACTAGAAATATTTTTACTATAAGAAAAGAAAAGAAAGAAAGACCAAGACTAGTTCTTGTCTTACAAAGATTGAATATGCTTATACAAAGATAGCTTGCTATTTATAGGAAAAAATGAGTAGCTTTTGTCATGTTCCACTTTTGCGAATGTGAAATCCATGTATGTGAAGTGACCTTTGTGTATGTAGATTCCATATATGCAACTATGACATTTGTGCTTCACTCTTGACTTCATGAGTTAGTCTTGCAAATGTAGGTTCCATGTATGCGAATGCGACCTTTGCAAGTAAGATTCCACACATGCATATATGACTCTTTTGCTTCCATTCTTGACTTCATGGGTTAGATTTGCAAATGTAGGTTCCATATATGCAAATGTGACCTTTGTGTATATTGATTCCACATATGCATCTATAGCTCTTTTGCTTCCATTCATGACTTCATGGGTTAGACTTGCAAATGTAGGTTCCATGGATGCGAATGTGACATATAGATTCCACATATACAAATATGTTCCTTTTCATCTCTAATTGTATCTTTCCATAAGCCTATATGTATATTCCACATTTGCGAATATAAAAATGATGTGTGCAACTGTGGCTTTGCTTCATTCTCTTGTCTTTTAGCTTCTTTCCTTATTTTCATAACTTCTTTTTCCTACAAGATTTGTTAGAAAATATGCAAGGATAGGATATTTTTATTCCTAGTTTATTTGAAAAACTTATTTTTTTTACATATGAAATTACATGAATAATTTATATCAATCAAATGCCCCCATACTTGAACTTTTGCTCGTCCTCGAGGAAAAAGAATACTTTTAAAATATATCATCCAAAATCCATGACTATTGTAGGATAGAAAATTTATACAAAATAAATGTCCTCCAATATGGTCAATACAATTAACCTTTTTAAATTCACCAAATTTTTTTACCTTATTTCTGAATTCTGCTTTGATCAACAAGAACTTGCAATCTTCTTCCCTTGAATCTTTCAGAATTGATAGATTTTTGATCACTTATTCAGTTAATACCATACCTGTGACGACCCAAAGGGTCATCACCTGTTTTTCTTTCATTCCGTGCTTTCGAGGCCTTGAAAATCTCATTTTTACTTGCCTCGATTTGCGTGCGCAATCCGGGCGCGTAGCCGGAAAGCTTAAATATGAATTTTGTGTAAAAATTGATGAATTTTGATATTAATATGAATAAAGTTGACTTTGGTCAACATTTTGAGTAAACGGACCCGGACCCATGATTTGACGGTCCCGGAGGGTCCGTAGAAAAATATAAGACTCGGGCATATGCCCGGAGTCGAATTCCGAGGTCGAGAGCCCGAGAAATGAATTTTTCTGTGAAATTGTTTTTTAGAAATTAATATGGAAATTTGAAAAGGAAATTGATTAGAACGTGTTGGTATCGGGCCCGTATTTTGGTTCCGGCGCCCGGTACAGGTCTTATATGTGATTTAAGATATTTCTGTGAAGTTTGGTTGAAATCGGACGTCATTTGACCTGTTTCGGACTATAAGTTCTAAATTTGAAAGTTTATGAAGTTGAAGAAAAACTATTGATTTTGAGGTTTGATTCATTGTTTTTGATGTTATCTTGGCGATTTGATCGCACGGTTAAGTTCGTAGGATGTTGTTGAGTTAGTGTATGTGTTTGGTTAGGAGCCCCGAGGGCTCGGGAGTGTTTCGGAGGTGTTTCGGGATGATTTTTGACTTAGGGAAAGTGCAGGTTTGCTTCAGCTGTTGCAGAACTTATTTTTCTTCTTCGCGTTCGCGATGTAACCCACGCGTTCGCGAAGCTTCAGCTTCATCCCTCTTCGCGTTCGCGTCAGCATCCTCGCGATCGCATAGCGTTAATTGATCCTGGGGGACTTGGCCAAATTTCCTTCTTAGAGTTCGTATGCCATCACTCGCGAACGCGTAGCATCTCAACCCCCTTCATCGCGTTCGCGTATGTGTACACGCGATCGCGTAGACCTAAATCCTGGACCCCCAGCCTTTTCTCTTCGCGTTCGCATCCTTCCCCATCGCGAACGCGATGGTTAGTTAAGTCAACCCTTCGCGAACGCGACTCCCTTTCCGCGAACGCGAAGGGTAATTTTGCCCAGTTATATTTTTAATTTCCAGAACAGTTTAGTCGCGGACCCTTCATAAAAATATCCGAGTTTCTTCTTCTCCAAGGTCCTTAGGCATCCATTGAAGCTTCCTTTCATCAAGACCACTTGGGTTAGTAAATTCCAACTTGTTTTCTTTATTTTCCATCATTATTAATCAAATTCCTAGGCTTAAATCATGTAGATTAGGGTGAAAATTGGGGGAAATGGGTAGAGTTAGGGTTTTCTATATTTTCTTGATTTAGACCTCGTTTTGGGGTCGAATTTAAAAACAAATTATATATTCGGGCTCGTGGGGGAATGGGTGATATGAAATTGGTTCGAACCTCGAGTTTTGACCAAGCGGGCCCGGGGTCGATTTTTGGAATTTTGGGAAGAAAGCTTAGAAAACTATATTTAGGCTTTGGGTTTGATTTGTTTAGCTTATATTAATGTTGTAAAGTTGTTATTTCATAGATTTGATTGAGTTGGAGCCGAATTCGAGAGGGAAAGCGGTCGTTGTGGATTGATTTAGCCGTGGAAGTTGAGGTAAGTGTTTGGTCTAACTTTGGCTTGAGGGAATAGGAGTAGAGTCTTTTTTGGTAATTGCTATTTGTCGAGTACGGTGTATAGGCATGGTGACGAGTATTTATACACTGGTATCGAGCATGACCGTGAGTCCTGAATTGCTATATTATCGAATTCTTAATTATTATTTATGAGGACTTGGTTGGAAATCTTTAACACTGAGCCAGTAATTGATGAGACTGAGTATTCATTTAATTGTGTTAAGTAGAAATTGAGTAAGTTTGGTTATAGCTGGATCTCCCTTGCCGGGATAGTTTATTATATTATCTTTTTCCCTTGCCGGGATAGTTTATTATAACATCTTTCTCCCTTGCCGAGATTATTTTGTGTATTGTGTTGAAAGAAATGGGATCGTGTGGCACGCCGACCACGAGATATTATGAAATGGGATCGTGTGGCACGCCGACCACGAGATATTATGAAATGGGAGCGAGTGGTACGCCTACCACGTGATATTATGAAATGGGAGCGAGTGGTACGCCTACCACGTGATACTATGAAATGGGAGCGAGTGGTACGCCTACCACGTGATATTATGAAATGGGAGCGAGTGGTACGCCTACCACGTGATATTATGAGAAATGGGATCGAGTTGCACGCCTGCAACGAGAGGAAATTGAAACAAGTGAAAGTGGTTTGTTTTCCCTTATTCTGTGTTAGAAGAAATCAGATGTAGTTTCTTTTGTTATTCCTGATATTCCGTTTTATCTGCTACCCAATAAGCATGTTCCCCTCCCAGTTTTAATTATTTACTTTTCGCTATTATTTTGTTGTACTTGTATATATATCTGCACAGGTTTATCTGGTAGTTTGGTCTAGCCTCGTCACTACTTCACCGGGGTTAGGCCAGGCACTTACCAGCACATGGGGTCGGTTGTGCTGATGCTACACTCTGTGCATCTTTTTGCACAAATCCAGG